ATGGAATACGTACTGTACCTTTAGATAATCCGAAAAATCCGATGATATATTTTTCACATTCCAAAGATTCCATAGCTTTCCTCAAAGCCCTCAACTAAATATAATTAGAAAAGTATTATTAACTTATTTACACCACCTATTTTAAAATATTACTTTCAACAAACCTCACGGTTAAAATCTATTAATTGTTCAGGTAACCTACGGCTAACAAATTTTACTGCTACATTATTTCCTTCCCATTGTGTCTTAAAAACCTTACCATATGCACCTGCTGATACATAAGTTAAACCTGATGCTGTTAATTCGAGGTATTCAATGTCACAGTTAGGTTGTTCATCATTGGGGACGAATGAAGTACTTAAATTATTCGAAGATGCAGAGCTTGTAATATTCTGCGCAGAAGGCTGTGTTGAGTCACTTTGAGGTTCAACAATTGTCGGTATTGCATTTGCCCGACTTTCTTTTAATAAAGAATTACTCGACATATTGCTTCGTAAATCTCTAAAGATGATTAATAAAGCTAAGAAAAAAGGAAAAAAAAATCAATTTATTGATTTAACATGTAATAATACCAAACAGCAAAAAATATTCAATATTTTATATATGATTTATAAAATGTGACACAACATACAGACATCCGAACAATAAATCTAAATTTGGTATATTAAATAATATTATTTCGTATTGTATATTGCATACAGTGTTTGAAATTCAATTTTTAAATTAGTTGCGGGCTGCAACCAAATAAAAAAAAACTACTTGCAGATTATAAAAATCTATAAAAATTTAGTGCGCAAATAAACATTTAATCGAAATTTCTAGGTAAATTTTGCAAAGTTATATGAAAATGCACTTCAGATTTTGGTTGCGGAATTTAAAATTTTGTTACGGACCGCAGACTCCACAACCCAATTTCAGACACTGATTGTATAACAGTAGGACAGTTGTTCTTTTCGAAGTTCGTTACTAGATTTAGGTAAACTACGAACTCCTATTTACTTGTTTCAAACTTTATTGTCTTAACATTTTAAAAAACTTGAATGAATATAAACATAATAGCAAACTTGAATGAATATAAGCATAATAGCTTATAAACTTATGTAGGTGATTGACTGGTTATTTATACTGTACTTTTCAGAAAATAAGATACCGGTACCCAACTCATAGTGTTTGTAGTCGATTTCGTTAGTCGATAAAATCGACTTAGCCTGCTTAGTCTGCCGATTTTTCAAAAAATTGATTTAGTCGATTTTATGAGATTATATTAAAAATCACATTAACCAATAAATTTAGGCCGGCTTAGTGCTTCATCTTAATAAAAATTAAAAATTTAAATAGTGATCACTATGGGATCCGAAAAATTCCGAAAAGATAATCAACGAACGTAAAATACAAACGAGGTTAAGATAAAAATTTGAGGAAATCTTGATAATTTCTGAAGGTTAACCTATGATGACCGGATCGACTACAAACACTACCAACTCATTCCA